AAAGCAGCACAGGCCCATTGTCCATCCTGCTCCCTGCAGGGCTGGGTGCCTGAGGGATTGTTCCTCCTGTGCCTTCCCTGCCTCCCACTGCTCTGCTCTGGCAGCACAGAGGCATCAGCTCTTCCCTGGGGAACAGGAATGCAGAGCTGAGCCTGCTCTGCTTCCAAAGGAGCTGCAAATGCAAACCCTCCATTGGCTCAGAGCTCATCCTGGCAGTGTCCCAGGTTGAGGAGGTTTGTACTCCTGACATGGCAGAGGGGTTGTTTGTTTTCTTCTGAACAAAATCCTGAGAGAGTTCCTTTTCTATTCCCCTTAACCATCACTCCAACAGATTTCTGGCAACTCCCTTTGGAAAGACAGAGGATTGCCTACCTGCTGGCCTTTTAGGGGTGTGGGGCTGTGTTTTTGGGTTCTCTTGCTTGGTGGGGGACAATGGTTTTGGGTCCTCTTGGTTGGTGGAGGACAATGTTGTTGTGTCCTTTTGAGTGGTAGGGGACAGAGTTGCTAGTTCCTCTTGTTTGGCGGAGGACGTGGCTTCTGAGCCCTTTCGGCCGCCTGCAGTTGGACCATCTGGAAATAAGAACACAATTTCTGCTTGCAAGGAATGACCACTCTTGCCAGGCACTGTCAGAGCTCTGCTGGACCTCTCTGAACCCCCATCACCCAACTCATGCCTCTTTGCTCATGAGTCTACTATAAAAATCATAACATGGTCAGGTCAGGTTCCACTGAATTAAAGGCAACACTTGAGCTCATTTAAACAAGTTATATCTTAATAACAATTTATTTGGCAAAACAAGACCCTATGGAAAATTCATACAATACTCAAACAGCATAAACTTATAGCATCCCATAAACTCTCTCAGTCAATTCCCAAGTCCTCTGCCCTATCAATGGCAGTGACTACCTGCCATGGAGTAGTGCCTCCTGCAGGAAAAAGACAGACTCCCACATAGATTTCCCCTGGCTTCCCCTTTTCCTGTCTCTTCCTGGCTTGATACGCCCTGTGGCCGACCTCCCCTCCCCTGGATACTGATCCCCTTTGCCCTGCCCTCAGCTCTGCTCCCCACACCTTCCCCTTCTTCAGCTCCCCGTGGTTCTCTCTCTTTCTCACTGGTCCCCTTCAGCCTCATGCTTCACTGGAATAAAACCTTGCAGAAAGAGCCTTTCTTGGCTCTCTGGCTGAGCCAGCTGCGGTGAGTGTTGGGTGGGGTTTGACTGTGTTGTCTGAATGCTGACCCAGCCTGCTTTTCTACAGCACAGCTTTGTTGGGAACAGATAATAGGCAGCAGCACCCACCACTCAACACCTGCATTTTTATAAACTCAAAATGCACCAGTTTCGATTTGGAGCAAAGTGAAACTTTGTGCTCTTGAACTTAAAAGCTACCTTGATTTCATTTCTCAGGTTTGATCTAGATCTCAGGTTACTTGGGAGTATTTTTTCAGATCTGTAGCAGTTCAGAGAGAGAACTGAGCCTCACAAAAGAACGATAACTGAAGCCAGACCTGGATTGAAGTGTAAGAACTCCTCTTTCAATGTTAAAATTAAAGCTGTATTAAATGCTAATGACACCTTTTATTTTCTGTTGGTTCATTATTGGTTTTTAATTTGCCCCACCCTTTGCTGTTTGACATTTATAAATGTCTGGGCACTGTCAGATATCAATCCTGGACTCTTTGCCCAGAAAAAGAAGAACTACTTGCCTCCCCCAGCCCTGTTTTTTAAGTTCCAAGGATCAAAGTCTTCCCCATGTGCATCTCTGAGCAGGTGGCAAACTGTGGGACTTGAGAGTGATTGGTTGTGGAAACTTCTCAAGCTTTCTCAGCTATGAAAGGACGGAAAGAAACAAGCAAAACCATCTGAAATTTTAAAATGGTTCTTTGAAAACTTTTAAAGGAAATACCAATTGGTTCTATTAATTTTTTTTCTGATGGAAGTAAGATTTTTTTTTCTACAAAATATAATTTATCTTTTTATGTAGCTCAAAATATGTTATGATCTTCAGGAAACTCCTTTCAGATGTGATTTACTTGCCTCCTTCAAATGAACTTGAATTCCTATTTATTTTAAGATTTTTGGTGTTATGGACATCTTGGTCTTATGATACAACCTCATCACCTTGTGGGATTCTCACAGTTAGCAATTGTATTACTGGTAGGCATTACCAAATCTCACCTTGTTTATTCAAAACATTTATATAATAAATTCTTCATCATTTGAATATTGTCAGTTTTTCATTGGGATTTTGGCTTTTTTATCTGTTGGAATTTTCAACTTTCAAAACCACTCTATTCTCTTGCACATTTTCTCTTACGGCCATGCTTGGCTAAAAACTGCTGTCCTTTGCCTTCAAACCAAACTTCTGTTCCTACTGGCTTTGTATGTCATGGCCTGGACCTCAGTCAGTGGGAGAGAGACACAAATAAATGGCTGTTATGACACTAACAAAAGAACTTACATGTGATTATTAAAGATACTGCCAGGACCAGTATGAGGATTATCACCACCAATATGGCAACATGTTTTCTGGAACAACGGCTTTTACCTAGAGAGGGGCAGAAACATAAAGATTAGGGGACCGGTTGGCCAGAGGCCCTTTTGCTTGGCTTTCCAGGTTTTCTTTTTCGGGTTCCCCTTGGGATTTTGGGGCTTTCCGGTTTTGCGGGTTGGGGCCGGGTTCATTTTCTTGTTGTTTCCCCCTTGGTTTTGGGGCCTTGTGTTCGGGGACTTGACCGGTTCCCCACCTGCCATGGGTTTGAGGAGAGGGGCAAAGGAGGAGCGGCCTTGCAATCAATGCCCTCCCTCTGCTTCCTCCTCTCCTTTGTTCGCTTTCCCTGCTGCTGGGCACAGGAGCCTGGGCTCAGGGGGTCTGGGTGTGCCCCATCACATCCTTCTATTCCTTTGCCAGGAAAGCCAACAAGTGTTCAGGGGCACAGGATGCAACACCTCAGCTGCCCCTGCTCTGAGTGTGGAAACAGACAATTGTATCCTCCTGCCTCCTCATGGTTTTGTGTCACTGCAGGTTTAGGGCATCAGGATCAGCCCCTCTGCTCTTCTTGTTTAAATTCCCATCACTTTATCACACAGCTAAACTCACCTGATGATTTGCAGCTTGTTGCAGCATTTGTGTCTTGGGCTTTCACTTTCACTTCTGCATAGGTACAGCCTGAGCCTGGGAACCAGAACAAAGCACAAAGAGAGCTGAGAATCAATTTAAATTAAATAAAAATGACTGAAATTGTGAGAAATGCTGAACACAGGACAGCAACTGGTTGATGTGACTGTGGTTAACTATGCACAAATTATATTTTTCTCCATTATAGTCACTGATCTCTGCTCTGTGTGACCAGGGACAGGACCCAAGGGAACAGCTGGATCTGTGTCAGAACAGGGTCAGCGTGGACATCAGGGAAAGATTCTTCCTCCAGAGGGTGCTGGGGCACTGAACAGGCTCCACAGGGAATGGTCACAGCTCCGAGGCTGCCAGAGCTCAAGCAGCATTTGGAAAACACTCTCAGGGATGAACAGGATGGGATTATTGGGATATCTGTGCAGGGCCAGGAGTTGGACTGGATGATCCTAGTGGGTCCCTTCCAGCTCAGGATATTCTGATTCCATGTTTCATGCTGACTCTTTCACCCTTGGAGCTCTTGCTAGATGCAGGAACAGAACTGATTTCTTTTTGAGGCAGACAATACCAGAGGGCGCAGGGGCACACACTCATATTGTCAATCTTGACAAAAGGGGAGGAAAGTGCCAAGGGTGGCCCAAGGTTGTTCATCCTGACAGGAATGGTGAGATGACTAAAACATCAAAGTCTGAAAACTGCAGATTGTACTAAACTTGCAGGGGTTTGAGTGTTTATCTAAATAACCCAGATAACAGGGAGAGTAATGAAATCTATTCCATCATCTGCAGGTAATAACTACAGAGCAGCAGGGAAGAAAACATATGGAGAGGAAAGAAGGGTCAGAGGGAGATCAGAAGTGGGTAAAAAGTCAAAAATAGGATGTTGCAGTGTTATAAAACTCTCCAAGTCATCGTGATATGCAACACTGAGCCCCCTGGATTATATCACTGTACAGAGCTAAAATGGAAGTCAGGGATTTGAGCTCTTTTTAGAAGATGGACACAATATCGGGAAATCTTGTGCATAATTTCAGTGAACACATAAAAGAGTTGGTAGGGGTTTCCCTAAAAGGCACAAGCAGAGAAACACCCAGATGTTACTAGAAATCTATCAAAATTCTGAATAGGAATACATGGGTTAAATTCTAAGGAAAATGGAACTTGTTATCAGGTGGCATCTACTGTGGTCAATTGAACTCTGAATTGATCCATTGAAAGGGGTGGTAAAACCCTATTCCCTGGGGTGTTAGTAAGTCCACACATCCAAAAAGACATGCAGAGGGGTCACACTTTGTGCAAAAGACAAACAATGGATTTGTTTGAAGAAATAATTTCGGCCAGAGTGAAAGCAGGGTTAGAAAGAAAGGAAAGAAAAATGAAAATGAAATACAGAGACACACAGCAGGAAGTCTGTTAATTTATAGGATGTACTTTTATGGCAGATATTGCAAAACCAGTGCAAACATACATGCAACCATTTAAAACTCATTAAAGAAAGATAAATCATTGGTTAGAATTTTGCAAAGTGTTTGATCCCAAATCAGACCAAAGCTGTCCATGAACCATTCTTCACACTGGTGCATTCAACAAGCAGTTGGCACAGCCAGAGCAGGAGCAGAAGCCCCCAGGCAGTGCCTGCTGTGCTCAGGGAGCAGGAGCAGCTGTGCAGGAGACTGCTGTGAGCACCAGCAACAGCAGCCATTCCATCCTGAGCAGTTTGCTGCAGCAATCTCAGTCTGCTGGGGGACAACAGGCCAGGGCCAGCAGCAATGGATGTTCAGCTCTGGAATGCCCTCCCAAATGGATAAAAAGGACTCTTAATCTCACCCCAGAGACGCTGCCTCACACCTGCACCTTAGCAAGAGAAAAGTAGATCTCCCAACAACTTGCCTTTGTAAATATCAACAACCCTCTCTGGACACTCCAGGTGCAGTTTTGCAGTCCTGGCCCTCATGTTTCCTTTGGGCTCTTTGGGGCTGTGGTGCTGCAAGGAACTCTCTCAAGAGATGTGGGAGAGGGAGTGGAGAATGCAAAGAAAGCTCAGTGCCCAGCACTGGACCTACCTGGGTCATCAGGGACTGTCAGGATTCTGGGTCTGGTTGATTCAGACAAGTTCAGGTCAGCATAAAGGACATTTTCTGCCATTCTTGTTCCCGCTTCTCCTTTTTCCCTCCCTCGGCTGTTGTGACAGTGACACTCTGGGCTGGGCACGACTCAGAGCTCCCCCCCCTCTCCAACCTTCAGCAGGAAGTTCCTGACTCTTCCGGTCACACCCCAACTTCTAATGAAAAGAGAAGTCTATTTCTACCTTATCTTTTGATGGCAAATGGTTTTATGTCAGTAACACGAGGAAATAGAAGTTCATGGCCTCCCTGAGGTCACCTGTGTTGGGAAGTGGTTCTGGATTGGAAGTATCTTGAGTTCTCAAAGCTTCACCAACCCACACACAAAACATTTTGCTCTGCTGTGTCCTGAGCTCTGTGGGCTCTGTGTAGCTCACAGACATTGTCTGCTTCTCTGAAAGGGAATTCTGGAGGCAAAATGGGGTCAGAAAGAGGGATTGGTCCAGCCTGTTTTGGGAAGCACAAAAAGATGCTTAAGGCAGCAACTGGAATAGTGCAGCCTAAACAAAACTATTCCTTGGCTTTCTAGGTTTGTAATATCCCTCTGGGCAGTTGGGGTCAACTGTGTCCCCTCTCAATTCCTTGTGCACTCCCAGCCCCCTCAGTGGTGGGGTGGGATGACAAACAAAGGTCTCTCACTCTGTTTAATCTCTGCTCAGCAAGAACTAAAGCATCCCTGTGGTCTCAACACTGTTCCAGCACAAGTCCAAAATATAGTCATACCAGTTACTATGAGGGAAGTGAACTCTATCCCAGCCAAAACCAATCCAGGACCCCTAGAATTTAAGAACAACATGAAGGTCCTTGAATGGAGGCTCACAGGAAGGGAAGAAAGCTGGTGGAAGTGTTGGAAGGAATGTCCTGTGCGGAGCAGCTGAGGATTCCTTGGTTTGTCCAGTTTGGAGAAAAGGGGGCTGAGGGGTGACCTCTTTTCTCTCTGGAGTCCCAGCACAGGAAGGACATGGGACTGTTGGAGAGAGTCCAGATGAGGCCAATACAGCACTGAGAAGCTGGAGAACCTCTGCCATGAGGAAAGTCTGGGAGAATGAGATTGTTCAGCCTGGAGAAGAGAAGGCTTTGAGGTGACCTCACTGTGGCCTTGCAGTGCCTGAAGGGAGCTGCAAGAAAGATGGAGAGAGACTCTTGACAAGGGCCTGGAGTGACAGGACAATGGGGAATGGGTTCACACTGACAGAGTGTGGGTTTAAATGGGATATTAGGAAGAAATTCTTCCCTGTGAGGGTGGTGAGACCCTGGCACAGATCCCCAAAGAAGTGTGGCTGCCCCATGCCTGGAAGTGTCCAAGGTCAGGTTGGACGGGGCTCTGAGCAAGCTGGGATAGTGGAAGGTGTCCCTGCCCATGACAGAGAAGGTGAAATGAGACGACCTTAAGGTCCCTTCCAACCCAAACCATTCTATGATTCTATGATTGCTGTATTCCTGTCTTTATAAAAACATAACACATTGCTTTTCTCATTCAAAACAAATTATAGGAAAAAGTTGAGTGGTTTTTAAAAAAATAAATACCAATTCTGATTGAACCTATTTCTTCAATAGAAAGACAATTTTCTCTTATGGATATATGCTCTCAGGGCCATCAGATCTGGAACACTCTCTGGTGCCAGTGGTCATGGCAGAGGCTTCTTCAAAGAGCCAGAGATGTGTTCTGGTATTCTGTGCCTCATGTCCCATAATCACAGGCCCAGAGAATCCAAGCAAACACCAAATGTGTGAGAGAAAGAAGAGGAAGTGAAGCGGTTTCTGTGGTGGTTGATGACTCAGAAGTTTGTACTGCAGTTAAATGAAGGTTTGCAGTGGCCCTCAGACCTGACAGGGAGACGTGTCTAGAAATTCTATGGCAGGCTGAAATAATGAGGCCTAAACAACAGACCCTGACTGAGGCCTGAACAACAGGCTCTGAGCCAAAGTTGCCTCTAGATGAACCTTCCAACCAAATGTTTTATATATATATATTCAATCATTAATGAGCTATTGTTAATAAATGACATTAATATAATAACATAACATAACATTTCATTAATGAAATATTGTTAAATTAATTGTATGTGTTTGTTTATTGGCAAAATATGTGTTTACCTTTCCACATCCAGAAACTGGATGAGGCCACATCTGGCCTAGTTAGGGGTGTACACAATCAAAGACAATTCCCTTGGTTCCCCCTTGAGCCCTTGACAAGCCATTGGAGGAAATCCAATACTGGAATGAAACTAGAAATTATTAATGTCAGTTTGTTTGTTTAAGAGTATAAAAAATGGCCTACTGTCACAACTAAGTTGGGAAGCCATTCCACATCCCCACAAAGGTGGAATGGGTCGGAGACAACCTTAAAGATCATCTTATTCCAAACCCCTGCCATGGGGGTGCCCCTTCCAGGTTGCTCCAAGCCCTGTCCAACCCAGTCTTGGACACTTCCAGGCATGGGACAGCCACAGCTTCTCAGGGCAACCCTAAGTATTCTGTAATTTTTCAACTCCACCAAGTCTCAATTCCTTTTTTCATTCAGAATTTTCCTTTTTATTAGGGAATGATATTGCTAATTTGACAGTTGTAACATGGACTGAGTGTAGGAAACATCCATTGAGTTAAATCAACTTTTTTGGTTTTTATTGCTGGTTTTCTGGAGTGAGAAGCACATGATGGCATCAATCCCACAAATTTTGTCATAAAAATAGCTCCCCTCTTTCCTGTGGAATATTGCCTACGCTCATCAGCAGGTTCTGCTGCATCTTGAGGGAGTGCTGACTGTGTGGGCTGGTGCTGCTTGAAGAAGGAAGGTGCAATACCCCACTGAGTTGATGGTTTTGAACTCCATTTGACAAGGATGGTGCAAATACCATGGGGGAGAAGTTAAAACAGGGATCCAGCTCCCCTTGTAAATCCTTTTTTGTGATACTGAGATGCTGCATAACTCAATACTGGAGATAGCACACAGGCCAGTTTGTATTGTATTTCTGAGCACTTAGCCACACTTTTCAGCATTTAAATGTATACTTATTTTTTCTCTGTGGTATTGTGTATTTCCCACAAAACTATGATGGGTAAATATCTTCAGTAATTTAAAGATATTTTCCTGTGGGTCTGTATGGGTGGGACAATGGCTCTGCATGTCTGTGTTAATAATGAGGTCTGTGTTAATTATTCTGCTGCAATTCCTTAGCACCTAATGAATTTGGCTTCCTAAACACTAGCTAAGGGCAACATCTGACAGCATTTTCCTAACAGAGAAGCCCTCACACTTCCACTTCACTCCTACTCTTGCCAGCTCTATTCCCATTTTTCCAAGATGAGTCATGTCCATCTTTTGGCCTCTGCAATCCCAAACTCAGTGTGGCCATGACCAAGAAAGACAGAAGAAAGAGAGATTTTTAACATACCAGGCTCTTGTCCAATACTTACATTGTGCAGCCTCAGGTCAGAAGTGAAGAATTTTCTGGGGTCAGTTGAGTCCTATGTATCTCTATCTCATCAAGAAAACAGATCTGGTAAAGATTTCATTACTAGATCCAAATTCAAAGATAAGTAATCTGCAAATCATCTATTCTGAAATAGATAAAATATTTAAAATGTAATATGCATTATGAACAAAGAAAGCAGTAAACACTTGGAAAAATAACTCTCCTTTGTGAAAGCAAGCCTTCTGGGCTGGTTTTCACCACTTGACAATTCCAGATAATGACTTTTATTTGGTTGTAGTAAAAAGGAAAATTGAAACAAAAACCAAGCATGTGAGAGAGAGAGGCTTAGAAGGAAGATTTCAAATAGAAAACCTCTCTAAAATTCCACTTACAGTAACTAGGATGTTTTACCCTCAAGCTATCTGTTCCTAGGGTTCAGTGGATGTGCTTGACAGCTGAGCAAATGTGGATTTTTCTGGATTTAATGTGCTTGCTTACTGCATCCAGACCTATAATAATTGGGAGATATTTTCTGATATGTAAAAGATTTGAAAAAACTTGTAACTTTTTGGGACCAAAATTATTTTCTAATATAAACAAAGAGTTTCTGCTACCAAGGAGGAAAAAAAATCATTGTTAACATTAAATATATTTTCTGAAAATAATGGAATGTTTAACAATTTTGAAATCAAACATTTCAATTTTTCCTTTCAGGATGTTCTTTTAGGAGAAATTAAGTGCTTTGGGTTTACACCAAATCACTTTTTAAAAATCATTATTAAACAAATAAGAACAAGTGCTCTATTTTTCTCCTGCCGTAATTCACAGCCAAAAGGTCCCTGTCTGGGTCACAATCCAAGAAAGATTTAAAAAGTGGTTTTAACAAGAATCATTTTGCAACCAGCTCATGACCATAAGGAAGGCTGGCTACCTCATTCCTTCCAAGGTTTACCCATTTTTAGACAAACATTGTGACATATTTTGTGCAACATATATTTTATTGTTGTGTGAAAGAGGAACTGAAAACAGCTGAACAAAGTAAAACTACTGGAACTGGTATAAACTCTTTCTCTCTGTATCTGGATAAAATTAAGCTGTCGGTTTCTCTTTTATATTTAACAGAAAACAAAACAGTCTGGTTTTTATTTAGCAGCCTTGGTGGCATTTTTCCCCCTCTAAACTCCAGCTGCTTTAATATCAGACATCTATACTTAGTGGTTGCCTGACAGTGGAAAAAACAAGAATTCCTAAGGATGTCCTATCCTATGCCTGACATATCTCAGTGTGCCAGGGCCTCAGCACCCTCACAGAGAGCAATTTCTTCTTCATGTCCATCTAAACCTGCTCTCTGTCAGTGTGAAGCCGTTCCCCCTTGTCCTGTCACTCCAGGCCCTTGTCCAGAGTCTCTCTCCATCTTTCCTGTGGGCTCCCTTCAGGCTCTGGAAGGGCACAATGAGGTCACTCCAAAGCCTTCTCCTCTCCAGGTGAACAATCCCAATTCCCTTTCCAGGCTGAAGATTCCCAATTCTCTTAGCCTTTCAATATACCTTTTGTCCAACATACTTGGAGCATGACCCTTGGCAAAGGGGGATGAAGAGGGAATCTGCTCATCTTACGGAGAAGCAGATGCTGCCATTTCAGAAGGCACCTCCTGGCACAATGTCAGATCCAGGCAGCTCTCCATGAGGGCTGAATCCACATGCCACCCAGCCAGTGTGGATGTGCAGCTCAGCCCCATCAGCTCCTGTTCCTCAGAGGCAGAACATGCTGGAAGGATCCAGGAAGGCAGGGAAATGCAGCAGTGGAAATGCAAGCTGGCCAGAACAAAAGCATGGGAGGAACAAGAGGAAGAGCATTCTTTTGATTTCTGAGAAGAACATCACCATAATCTCTGCAGTCTCTGAGTCTTGCTGACACCTTGGGCAGCTAGGAGAAGCCCAGATTATCTGGAAGTGCCCAAGGCTGGGCCTGTTGCCAGGAAGGAGGGCTGGAACCCAACTGTTCTATATTCAATTTAAAATGTAGGAAAGATCAACACTTTACATAACATGCCCTGGCACCCTGCCTGAGTGAAACTGTACTAAGCCATCTCATATACATCTTTAAACATTTTTAACCGCTGTTTTGTTCTACAGACCCAAAACAAGGCAGTCAAGTCTTTACCTCCTACCCAGTACTGCTCAGGGTGGGTGAATGTTGGCTCTTCTCACCAAGGAAAAGGGGCACTTCTGATGAACTTGTCTTGCCACTGCAGATTCTAAAATGAATCCCGATTGTGCCACTCTTGTGGGATGGTTACAGACAAATTTGTAGGAAAGAAGCTAAGCCTTAATGCCATGGCTTATCAGAGGGAGCTGTTGTGGCACATGGAAAGGGCTCCTGTGATAGCAATCTGGAAGAGTAGAACAAGAAAAATGCCTCTGCTCCATGTGCTATACCTTGGTGGGAGTGAGTCACTGGAGAAAAGTGCATCATCTCTTGTGCTGCCTGAGACCTTTCAGGCTAATGACACAAAAACAATAACCTCAGCAGGTTTCTGACCAGTTCTCCCAGGAAGTGTCTTGTCCGTCATCTCCAATTTGCCCAACTGCATAACCCACTACAAAACTTATCCCAGATCTATGGATTCTGCAGGACATGGTAGTTTATTCCTATTAACTTTCAGAGAAAATGTAGAAAAGCCATTTGTATTATTTTTCTGGGGCAAGTGTTGGAAGAACAGATGAACAACCGAGAAGGAGAATTACCTGATCTGATCCTCAGGCACAGGGTTTAAAGAGATCAAACTGCATACAGATTGCTTGAATCTCAGGTCATGTTGTTGACAGTCCTGCTTTAGACAGGACTGTATAGTCCTGAAGTATATTTATGTCTTCTTATTTCAGTTCTCTAATAAAATGCTGACACTTTTTATATTGTCTGCTCCAAGACACTGTTTTTTGGGGAAATGAGGGCTGAGGGATACAGTAATGCAAATTGAGTATTTGGAGGTTAGGACAGCACAGGGATATCAAAACTGAGAGACTTTGGCCCCTCTGAGAGATGAACCAAAGAGAGAAATAATCATGAAGTGGGGAGGGAAAAAGGCAAGAGAATTTGCATCTTGCAGAGCTGCCCATGGGAGAAATTTTCACTGCAGCTAGTTCTCCACTTTTAGGCAGAAAATCCTTTCCTCTCATGGAGAAGAGTGTGAGATTGGAGGATGCAACTGAGACACTGCTGGAATGTGCAACTCTCCCGGAATTACAAGGAGAAGTGGTTTGGCTGTGTGACAAGGATTGGAGTTGCATGGTCTCTTGGGTGGAACAGGATGTGGTGGTGTTTGCATGGCACTGCTGAGGGGCGTGGGAGAGATGTGCAGGAAGATACCACAGATTGGTAGTGAGCAGAATGCCAAAGAAGATTTTAAAATTATAGATGACCTGAGAAGAGGGAGGAAGATAAAATCTGCTTCCTGTAGAAAATTAAATGCTCCTACAGGAGCCAAGTGTGAAAAGAAAGAGAGTCAGAACTACAGGATGCAGTGGCACCTCTGAGTATCTGCCTCAGGCAAAAGACAGAGGCAGACAGGAGAGAAAAGCAGTGAATTTCCACTGAGTTTTCTCTCTGGGGATTAGGATGACATGCAACAAATTCAGAAGGTGAAGAAGAAGGAAAATGCTATGCCCAGTACTCTCAAAACAGCCCTGATTGTTCCACTGCTGAAATCCTTTGCTGGCAGCACACACATCCCTGACTCACAGCCAACTTCCACCCCACATCTCCCCAGCTCAGCAGCTCCCTTTTGCAGTGCAGGAAGCACCAGAATACTGTTATATAGAGTAATGTTATATAGAGAAGCAATGTGAGTATCATTTCACAGTATTTGCATTCTGGTGAGGTTATTTAATACCTCTGTTCTTTCTGGACAAATTTTAACCAAAAATTCAACTTAAAAAGAAATTGGGTTTAAAAACGTCTGAATAGCTATTTAACAGAGTGGTAACTTGAAACTATTGTAACCAGGCTAAAAAATATCCTTACATTCAGCTATTCACTTCTTTGACAGCCCTCTTTTCCATGAATACATCCCAGATTCTCTATATTTCAAAAAGCTATAGCCCTTGTGGAAGATGGTGCCACGCTGACTCACCTTTTGCCATACATCTGCAGGGCTACTTCTTCCAAATCCTATGGATCGTATGGAAGAAGCAGAGGAGCTGTAAAGCTCCTTGTTGAATAACACATGCAATCCTGAAGGAAAGGGGGTGTAATAAGGGAGATTTTTCACAAGCTGCCTTGTGAAAGGACTTCACCTTTACTTAATGTAATTTCTCAGCTCTCTCACTGCTCTGGGCTTGTTTATCCGTAGCTGTGTTGCACAAATCCTCCTGTTCCAGGAGTTGTCCCTCTGCAACTGTGAAAAGCCCTTTCCTTCTTCATAGGCTGAAAATCCTGGATGCCCAAAAAACCTGAGGATAGAGAGGTGGAGATTCTCTTTATAATAAGTAATTTGCTAAGTGGATTAGCAGGGACAGATACATCAGCATGTGAGGGATATTTACAGAATGAAGAATTGTAGGATTGCAGTTCTTTTTTCCCCCTTTCCTTTTCAAGCTTTAAAAAAATCTGCTAAAGGCAGGGGCATCCCATGTGATGGCTAAAGGCATTTTGGAACAAATGTAAACAGTGTCTACACAGCCATTTTCTGAACAGACTTGTCACCTGAAAGCTCAGAGCACTGGAAGCACAGGGAGGGTCAAAGATGAGCAGTTCCCAGGCTGATAAATTTGCTTTACTTGTCTCACATAGCAAACAGGAGGGCACAGGCACACCCAGAGCTGCAGAAATTGATGCCTGCTGGTAAATCCTTGCACAGTAGATCAGGAGCAATCAGGAGAGTCTGCTTTTGAAGGCCACTGATGTGGGCTCTGCAATGGCTGTGCATTTGATGTACTGCAGTTTTACCCTCCCAGAAGCAGTGGTTGAAGTGCAGCTATGCAGAAAGCACTCAGTTCCAAAAAGGCTGTTATTTACAAACAGTTTTGTAATGAGGTTTCAGAGACAGAAGTGTTCTAACAGTTGGTCACTGAGCCTTTGTGTCATCACAGCTCGGTTATCTGAAGATCTGTATCTGACATCCTGTAAATACCCACTGCTGCAACCGTGCTGGCCCCTGCACGTTATCTTCAACTCAGTGATGTGGCTTCCTAGAACTTCTCCATATTGTGATACCCCTCCCAACCTCACACCCCAAATCACTTATCTGTGCTGTAAAAATGCCCAACAACTGGAAGATAGAATCATAAAATCATAGAATGGTTTGGGTTGGAGGGGACCTTAAAGATCATCTCATTTCAACCCTCCTGCCATGGACAGGGACACCTTCCACTAGACCAGACAGACAGGCCAATGTGAAGAGATGGACAAGAAAGCAGCCACCTCATTTTCTTGGCAAATGTGGTTAAAAAATGGCAATACATAGAGAAACTAATTATGATGCATGGATTGGGCTTTTCAAGAAAGGAAATTATCATTGCTTCTTTCCTCTGTGAGACTGCGTCATGGAAAATCTGAGGGTGGCTCCAGCTGAGCATGAGTCAGAGGATTCTTCTCAGCATTTTGTAGGTTGCCCTCTTACACAGAGAATTTTCTCATTATCTCCTTTCAAATGGCACAGGGATGAGGATGCTACCTGTGTCTGATGGACTGACTTCTTTCTGCAGAGGAATGTGAAAGCAGTGATGATATCTCAGGGCTAGATATTTCTGCCAAGTAATTTATATTTATTTTTATCATCTATGAAAAAAATCCAACAGTTATCCACAAGAGCCCTTATTAGGAAAGATTTTGAAGATGGAGATTGCCACGAAGGCTGCAGGAATTAAACCAGAACAGCAGGTCAGCGAGGAAAAAAAGACAGCAAATTCATGGCAGCTACAGTGAAATGCCATCTATCTGCCTTCTATATGGAAGGATGATCAAACTGAATTACAGGCTCAGATTTTTTGCCACTTTTCTCTCAACACTGAATGCCTTGGAAAACCCATCAGCGTATGTCAGGAGAAATAATATTATGATGTTTACTACAAAGAGCTACTGAAATATAATAAATTGTGAAGAAAACACGGCTCCAGCACAGAAGCCCATTTACCAAATGAGGTTTACACCTTCATTAGGGTAACATCCATTCCAGGGGTCAAGGGCGTCTCAATATAATTGATCCCAAACTTTGCCTCTGAGGTTGAACAGACAAAAACCCAAGTGCACAGTTGTGAGAATCAGATACTGTAACTTGGGAAGGGAATGTGACGGAGCAGATGAAGAATGAGCAGCAACTGAACCAAACTAGTAAATTCTTGTTCCAAGGGTCTGCA